GCCTTACTATACATGGTCGTTTTTTTTGGCTAAAAATGGGCTAAAAATGCCTTACTATACATGGTCGTTTTTTTCAGCCAAAAACGCCTTACTATACACTGTCGTTTTTTTCAGCGAAAAACGCCTTACTATACATGGTCGTTTTTTTCGCCCGAAAAACGCCTTACTGTACATCGTCTTTTTTTCGGCTAAAAACGCCTGACAATACATGGGCCTTTTTTTGGGCTAAAAACGCCTCACACGATGGGGGCGGGTCCCTTGCCCTCTGCAAACTGAGGAGAGCAAGACACTGAGGAGATGCAGACATTCTCTTGAGGCACTATTGAGAGCATCTTGACCAGCTGCATCACTATGTGGTATGGTGCTTACTGCGCATTTCTGCCGAAAGCGTCTGCAGCGCATTGTGAGAGCAGCTGAGAAGATCAATGGTGTCTCTCTTCCTCCACTCGCGGTCACTTCCAAGTCTCGTCCGACCCGCCAAGACACCCAGATCGCAGGTGACCCCCACCCATCCGCCTCACAGCCTCTCCGACCTGCTGTTGTCAGGGAGGAGACTGCGATGTCTCTGTGCGAAAACCACCAGGCTCAAGAACAGTTTATTCCGCCAGGCGGTCAGGAGACTAAACTCCCTATATGTTCTGCCCGCACTCCCCCCCCCCCTTGTCTACCCCTGCCTCCTGCCACAAGCGGTGTCCCTCCCACAGCAACTGACATCCGATGATTGCACTTAAAACAAGTCACTCCCCACAATAGTCACAAGTGCCCTTGGTTGGTTGTTGTTTGTTTTATTTATTTAATTTTTATTTAACATATGTATACATTTATGCCTGATGTAATTTTATGTAATGTTTAGCTGTGTGTGTCCAATGCACTACGTGTTTGCACTGTGGTTGAGAGAGGAAATCAATTTCATCTGTGCTGTATGTTACACATAGAGCCTATTTGAGAATAAAAGCTTGATACGTGGTCATTTTTTGGGGGGGATAAAAACGCCTTACGACATACATGGTCGTTTTTTCCAGCTAAAAATGCCTTTCTATACATGGTCGTTTTTTGGGGTGAAAAAAAAGCCTTAATACACATGGTCATTTTTTTTCAGCCAGAAACGCCTTACTATACATGGTCGTTTTATTCGGCCAAAAATGGGCTAAAAACGCCTGACTATACATGGTCGTTTTTTTC